TGTAAAAAATTGTATATTATTTTATGTAAATAATGTATAGTTTATGTATGTTATATTATTAATATATAAGAAATGAAAATTCCATATAACAATGCTAATAATTTCAATTGTTCACTTTAGTTGTTTTTTTTTTAAAAAAATAATGTCAACATTTTTATTTTATTTAATATCTTTTTGTTGGGTCCCAAAATACATTTCCTATTTCATTCTGCTAGCAAATAGTTGTAATAAAAGATTCACAAAAGCTGCCAAATGGAAAGTACTGGTTTAATTTGGAAATTATAATTATAATTCATCACTAATAAAAGTCCTCATAAATGGCTTTATTAATAATAATAATAATAATAATAATAATAATCATTATTATTATTATTATTATTATTATTTCTACATTGATAACTTTTATTGAAGACAAGATTATTTGAATTTAGAACTACATTGATAACTTTTATTGAAGACAAAATTATTTGAATTCTTTCTAAAGACTCATGCAATAAATCGTGGAAACAACACTAATTTTCTGTCTTTAATACAATCGAATTAAAATTGAGAAATGAGAAGGTAATACTAGTTTTTTGTTGAGAAGAGAGAAGATATCGCAATAGAGAGGCAGAGAAGCTAGTGTTTTGCCTACAACCAACAATACAACTAAAATAGTAATTTTAATATAATTGTATGGTATTATCAGTTTAACCATTAACCAAAATCATAAAATTGGAAGCTGAATCGATAATCACCAATAATTTTCTTTACAAAATCACTTAAAATCAATAATCAAATAACTCAATACCAATAAATTAATAATATTTTTTCTCAATTTGATTTATCGATTAAATCGATTTTTGCATGCTTCTTATCAAAACTTAACCCTAGCTCTTAACCCCAAATATTACCGTTTGTCAAACTTTTCATTACCAAATTTTCAAAAATAGATTTTCTTCTCTAAAATGCATCTAATCTCCCATCCTCTCAAGTTATAAATAGCATAATAATACTATATGAAAAAAGATCAAGCTAAGAAAATCTCAAAACATAAAACGATCTTGGGGGTCGTTACATTACACAAACATACATTTACAAGTAATTAAGTTAATTCACCAATAAGGTTCATGATAAAGTAGTAAATACTCTTTTATCTTTAATCAAAAGGCTCGAGGACAAAGTCCTTCAGGTCGCCAGTTCGAGCCCCAACAGAGCCATTGGAGTCATTACAAACCGACCACGTCTCCAGTGCCCCGTGGAGCTAACCGTGGTGCACCCGCCTTGAAACAGCGTTCGCAAAAAATGATACCCGAAAACCACAGCAAAAAAAAAGGTTTCAGGTTTCAGTCTCTTTCAATACAAAGTTATCTTTGTTATCAAATTCGAATTTAATCAAAACTCTAATATAACTACCGAACATAAAAAAAAAAAAATATACATGTATAACTTTCAAATCCCAATAGAAAGTAAAAAAAAAGTACATTAAACCTCTCTCTTGTTGTTAATTAGCTGTCCTATATATATATATATATATATATATATATATATATATATATAAACTAGTAATAAGAGTATCAAGAAACTAAAACCAAAAAAATAAAAAGGAGTCAGAACAAAGAGAGATGCTTTAAGAATAAAGCACCAACAAAATTTAAACACTTTTTCCCCTATTAATTAGACCTCATGGAATATCTTATAGGTATACTGTTATATATTATACATATAAATTGTACACAAATATTTTAATAAATTTAAATTTTATACTTCGATTATGTAAAATATATATATAGTTATTACTTAGAGCCTGTTTGGCTCAGCTTAAAAGCTGGTCAAACTGACTTAAAAGCTAGTTTTTGACTTATTTAATTGTTTGGCAATACTCAAAATAGCTTATTTTAAGTTTAAAAAAAAACTTATTTTAAGCCAAAAGTTAAAAGTTGGGGTAGGAGTGCTTTTTTTTTTAGCTTATAAGTTGTTTTAAGTTGACCATATTTTTATGTTTTTTCCCTTAATATTTTTATACAATCTCCAAATTACCCATATAACCCTAACATCTCTTTCTTCTATTTTTCTCTTTTCACGTTTGGCATAACAATTTCAGCGCTTTTATCCAAACGGATAACTGCTTATTTTAAAAATAAGTTTCAGCACTTTTAAAAGTATTTTTTTAAAGCTGCTTTTATTAAGCCCATCCAAACGGGCCCTTAATATTCTCTTCGTCTATTTTTACTTGTATCATATTAATTTGTCACGCTTCATAATGAGCAAGAAATAAAATGACATTTTTATTATATATTGAACAAGAAAATAAATCTAAACAATAGTATTATAGAACTCGATGAATAATAAAACAGGTTACTTATTATTACAAATACATATAAAAAGAAATAAAATATTAATAAGAAAAATATAAAAATAAAATTTACACTATATACTATAATATTTAGAGGTAAAAATATCGCCCCCCTAATCCGCTGTGTATTTGCAGAGATAGGGAAAAATCCTCTACCCCCCAAACAAAAAATAAATTAAAACAATTTAATTTATGTTACTGTTTAATTGGGTACGGAGTTTTTAGAGAAAAAGAATATTTCTTTTTAATAATAGTAATAACGGAGTTTGCACACACTATGTATTTACTATCTCTACCATCACCAACAAGTACTAAGCAACTTTGATCGATGCGAAATTATCATCTAATTGTTTTTGTCTATAGGGATTTGAACTTGAACTTTGTAGTTTTAGTCCGACTCATTTATTTATTCTAAGAAGGGTAAAAATGGAATAATTTTGAGATCTGTTGTGATCACTTATCATTATTGGTGGAATCAGTATTTTAATTAAGAGGGTTCAAAATTCGTAAAAATAGACACATAGAGTAGTTGAAGAGGGTTCGACATCTACTGTATATACATAAAATTTTAGTTTAACCATGTATAAATAATATAATTTTTCACCGAAAGAAGTTCGGATGAACTCGCTTGTACCAAGGTGGCTCCGCCCCTGCTTATCATGGAGACTTTAGGTCCTATTTGGTCATAACTCATAAGTATGTTCAATGAAAAAAAAGGAAATTTTTTTGAAATATCCGAACTTACTCTCCAAAGTCATTTCTAATTACAAGTAGTGATAGTAGTTTTTCGTATACAAATCAATGGTATTTTTTCTTTTATTAACTTCCTTTTTTTTTCTTCAAATTTGTATTATTTATGTTTGTTTTCGTGGCTTTTTCACGCAACATTTTTATTATAAAATGATGATACAAATTTATGAGTGTATTTAATTTATAACTTATTAAATTATTCTTAAAGGTCACACATTTCTCCTAAAATCAATAACCAAGTGCATAATGAAACTTCATCCAAAAATGACTTGTCAATTTTTTTTTAGAAATTTGTGACCAAATATTAGCTTAAATTTAAATTATATTGTTTCTACAAATAAAATGTAATATTCCTTTTAAAATATACTAAAAAAGAATGTTTCACGTCAATCAAGACAAAAATATAAAATTCTATTTTTTCATATGCAATTTGTCAATATGGCAACACATAATATATATTTTCATAGGAAGTTCAATTATCTGTAATTTACATAAAAAAAATTTATAAACATTATATTTAAAATATAAAAATTTGACTCTCGAAATTCAAACGGTGCTACGAGTTCCTCCTCTTTCTTCTTGACTTATTCCCTTGTAGACTGTTAAGCTACTAGTATAATAGAGCCAAAAACTTTTGATCCCTCTTTCCCCCATGAAACCCTAATTATCTTTTCTATATTACTGACACAAATTCTGAAAAGAGCCCACCTTAATATCCCTAGCTTAAATTCCTAAAAACCCACTTTCCTATGTACCATATATCCTCTATACATACACACTATATAATAGGCACTAAGTTGTATTCATTTACTACTTATTTTATCATACTATTTCCTATTGCCGTGGGCACTATTCATCATATGAATCCCTAGCTATAGGTCTATTTTAATTTTTTATAGACACGAGAAAAGTGTTGGTGTAATTGGTAAAGTTATAATCACCAGATAATCATATCATGCATTTAAGTTGTGGAAAATAGTCTCTAGTAGAAGTAAAAATGTTGCTATGTGATCAATCACGGGTTCGAGTTGTGGAAAACAGTCCCTTCTCGTAGAAATGTAAGGTAAAGTTATTGCTACGTGACATGAGTTCGATCGGTGAAAAATAGTCTCTCTAGAAAAAACGCGAGGTAATTAAAGTTGTTGTCATGTGATCTATTCAAAGGGTTCGAGATGTGGAAAACAGTCTCTTGCAATAAATGCAAAGTAAAGTTGTTGTTATGTGACCAGATCACGAGTTCGAGCTGTGGAAAACAATTTCTTGCAGAAATGCAAGGTAAAATTGTTGTCACGTGACCAGATCACACACGAAGCGGAACGGTGAAAAATAGTCTCTTACAGCAACACAAAATAAAATCGCGTATAATAAATCTTTGTTGTCCGATCCTTTTTCGAATCTCGCACAAGCTTAGTTTACCCGCCCTATCTTATACCTAGTTTAAATCCTAAAAACTCAGTTTTCTATGTACTATATATATACACACACACTATATACTAGGCACTAAGTTGTATTAGTCTATATACTATTTTCCTTTTTCTTTTCTTATTTTCCCTTTTAGTATTAGTATCTCCTATTGCCCGTGGGCACTATTGATCATATGATACCTATAGCTAATTCATTTTTATTGTATTTTACTTTGTAGATACTAAGGTGCACTCTTAGGTATATAATGTATAGGAGAAAGTGAGAAAAAAGAAAATTAAAAGGTAAGTTTATGTTTGGTTTTTTTGTTTGCTTTCTAAAGATAGATGTATTTTGTAGGGAATAGTAATATGTCTTTCTTTATATATACACAATTTTTACTGTTTTTGATACTACATTATATTAGAACCCCCCCCCCCCCCAAAAAAAAACCCCTTTTTTTTAAAAAGCAACCTATATTATATAGAGAGAGAATAAATAAAAGTATTTTTTTCTCTCTTTATAGTGTCTCTAAAAAAAAAGCTCTATATATTTGGTGTTGTTCCTTCTTTCATCTTGAATTAACCATTTCTTCTTCCTTTTTTTTCTCTTCAAATAAACAAAAAAAATAAAATACATCAAAAAATGGCAAGTTGCATTGATGTTGCTTCTGATCAACTTTGCTATATCCCTTGCAACTTTTGCAATATTGTTCTTGCGGTATCTATCTATTTATATATCTATCTATCTATCTATTTTTGTTTCGATCTTAAATTCTTTTTTTTTCCTATCATTTGAAATAATGAAATACGAATTCAGGATCTAGAGTCAGTTGATTTTTTGAAATTAGTATGATCTAATAAGTATATGTACTAGAAAGACGTGAGTTCAGTTGAATCTGCAGAACCTAATCTAAATTCGAGTTTTTTCTATATGTGAATTTTGGTTGTCTTTTCTTTTTCTTCTTTTTTTGTGCTTGAACTATCTTTGATTAGCTTGATTTTGAGAATTCAAAGAGCTAGTTTAATTTGTGTGTTTTGTTAATATTATTGTTATATTTTACATATATATATATATATACACACACACACAAATCAAGTGATCTATATAGATTTTGGGGTTTTCTTTGTTTTTTAATTTGCTTTGAGAAGTCAAGTCACAATCCATATAGAGACTTTTCTTTCTTTCTTCATTCTTTGATGTTTCATAGTCAAAGAAATAAGGAAAAAAGAAAAGTTCTATCATATCTCGAAACCTGAATTCTGAACCCTGAATCTTTTAATTAGAACTATTTTCTTCTTTATTCATTTTATGAGTTTTTTTTAAATTTGATGAAGACAAGTCCTTAATATTACTCATAATGAGATTTTAATTTTTTTTTTTGTATATATATATATATATATACCTTTCTCTTTTTTTCTAGCTCTGTGTTATATACCTTTCTCTTCTTTTTGTTTTACTGAAAAGATTGCACTAAGTGCAACCACCATATTGCTCCTCATGACTATGTTTTGATGAGCTTTTAATTTACCCTCATGTGTGCTTTTAAATAAATCATCAATCACAAAAAAAAAAATGTCTTTTAAAAAATATTTTTAGGGTTTTCTTTCCCAAAATTAGCTTTACTTTGAAATGTTATTGTATACACACACAAATAAAAAGGGGGTTTTTAGGTAGAGATTTTCAAGATTTAGAAAACCCCTCTTAAGAAAAAAAACATTTCTATCTCTCTAGTGATTTAAAGATTTAAAATCGATGAATTCTGTTTTCTAGATACGTATATGTGAGCCCCAAATTTTGCACGCCCACACAAACATGTATAATAACCAAGTGTACGTTTTTGTTATCTAGATGATATAGTCACATACTTCGAGTTAAACACGAAAGTTTAATTCTATTGAAACTTGTTACAACTAGTCTAGATTTACTACTACCTTCATATTTTTCTAAAACAATTTTTTTTAGTAATTTCAAGATCTTAATATATTTTGTTAATTTTTTGTTAATTAATTTTTGTAGGTGAGTGTTCCATGCAGTAGCCTATTTGATATTGTGACTGTTCGTTGTGGACATTGCACAAATTTATGGTCCGTTAATATGGCAGCTGCATTTCAGTCCTCTTCTTCTGCTTCGTGGCAAAATCATCAGGTTCGGTCCAACTGAGAAAAAAAAATTTTAAAAAAAAATAAAAAAAATTGAACTTTTTTTTAAAATTTTTTGCAGCTCAAATTGTGGGGGTTTTGTTTTTCTCTTTGTATCATAATTAATCACAGGTTTCTGAATTCTAGGGTTTTTTTTGTTTTTTATTTTGTATTCTTTTGAGGGAATAAATATGCACAGACATATTAATACTCAGATTGATTTTTTTTTTAAAAAAATGAAAATATTTAAGTATATATAGCCGCCATAAGTAAAAAAAATAATAATTAAATTAAATATATACATATTTATTTTCTATTTGAGGCTTGCAGCTTTTATAAATCTAAGGTATTTTTCTAGGGTATACTTTTTTATACATATAGGAAGAACAATATTGCTATGATTTGATAGTTTGATTTTATTATTTTTTTAAAAAAAAAAAAAAATTCTATCAGGTTTTGTCTTCTACTGTGGAAACAAAGCCTAAAAACTAGGAATTTTTTTTATTCATTTTATTTAATTTTATTTTGTATTTATAATCCCTAACTGATTCAGTCACTTCAATGCTGTTATGATCTATCTTCTCTTCTTTTTACATAAAACATCACTTCAGACTTTTTGGTCAAACCATAAAGAAAACCCTCTTAGACCTACCCACCCCCCTCCCTCACCCACACACATATTAGTGTAGTGTCGGAGTTTCGACAGGATATATAATATACGTAGATCTTATCAGTATCATTAACAAATAGATATGAAGTTGTTTTTGATAATCGTCGATTAAAAACAAAAAAAAAAAGAAGTAAAAATACAATAGTTATGAAAACCTAAGCAAAAATAGGTAGTTGCATTACATTTTTCTTGTTTCTACTTTTATAAGAATTTGGATCTTGAAATAAATAAATCATGCTCTATATAATAGTTATTGATATTAATTTTGGTATTATATAAACCCATAAATATCGTGGATTTATAATATCAAGATATCCTTATTTGGAACCACACGATTCTAAATGATACTGTGTTCGTCCATTTTACTTGTTCAGTATTGATATTTTAATGTATCAGATAAGTAAAAGTGGACAGAAAGCTAATACCAGTCAATATAAATGTATAAACTTGTATCAAACTATATTATATATCTCTTTATAACTATATTATATATCTCTTTATTTCAATACTTATGAAATTTATTTATTTATTTAGGTTCCAAACTACACTGCTCCTGAGTATAGGATGGATTTTGGTTCATCAACCAAATGCAACATGAACAGGATGTCAATGAGAACTCCAATCACAAACAATGTTCACGAGGAGAGGATTGTCAATCGACGTAATTATATTTATATATATAGAATTATTTTTTTAAAAAAAAATATACAATGTTCAACATAAAATATTACGTCACGTACCTCAAATGTTTTTATTTGGTTATTAATGTTTAGTGTAATTTTCTTTTTTTTCAGCTCCCGAGAAGAGGCAGAGAGTACCTTCTGCATATAATCAGTTCATAAAGTATATATGTATCTTTATTAAAGTCTTTTTTTTTTCTATAAATATTTATTTATTTTGTAAAAAATATTATTTTTTTTTGACACAAAATGCCTAAATGTGCAGAGAAGAAATTCAGAGGATTAAAGCTAATAATCCAGATATCAGTCACAGGGAAGCATTTAGTACTGCTGCCAAAAATGTAACTACTTTTTTCTTACATTCTTCAAACCCTTTTTTTTTCATTTTTATTTTCTCCACATATATTTTAAAAAAAATCTTTTTGATAAATATTGATAATATAAGAAATGTTTACATTATCAATATGTTTTAACGTGTTATAGCAGATAGTCTGACTAATTTTTTAAGTTATTAATCTCGTTTTTTTTTGTAAGAATAATTATATTTTAGATAATAGTGTAAAAATACTTTAGTCTGTCGATCGATCTATAATGTTTTATCTTTGTGTGGTGTAGTGGGCACACTTCCCTCATATTCACTTTGGACTCATGTTGGAGAGCAACAATCAAGCCAAACTTGCTTGTGGTAATGTATTTATAACTCAAATAAATAAATAAATATATATACATATATATATATATATATTATTCTGATAATTCTATTTACTATCCCTTCATTCCCTCTTTTAATACTTTTATTATCTACATCCTAGAGGATTAAACAAAAAAAAAAAACTACTAAGTAAAGTCTTACAAGTCATGTGGTACGATAGGTATGTACACATATTTTATCCGTATTTTTGTAGAATAGAAAGCTGATTTTCGATAGACAAGATTATTGTGCCTTATATATCATTAGAGGCATTAAAAGAAAAAAATTTTCCAAAGCAACTTAGAGTAAGTTGTAGTTTTTAGTGATGTCTGAAATTTATTGACTACTACTTTTTTTTTTAATGTTATTAAACTAATGTATATAAATAATATTCTTTTATTATTTACATTAATTTTCAGGGAGCAGAAAACTATAAATTACTTTGCAAGACAAATAAAAGATCTTCATTTCATGAAGCTGTGTGTGAACTTGAAGACAAGAGTGTGACATTCAAGATGTTCTATGGAGTGTGGACATTATAAACTATATATTATAATTATGTCTCTTTTTTTTTTTTCTAATTAATTTGTTGTATTTCAACTTATATATTGTTGAAAAAACTAAGTTTCTTTAATTATCATTGTCTTCCTCTTATCAATTGTCTTTCTCTAATGAAAGAAAACTTTAGAGAGGTTTCTCCATCATGATCTTGTTCTTTAACTTAATACATATGAAATTAGTCTTTTGAATGCTCTTATTTCTTTGGTTTAGCTCCCGTCTGACCATAAATTTTGAAGTTGAAACTTGAAATTTGAATTGACGTTTGGACATGCATTTTACTTTAAACAAATTTGAAGTTTCGTGACTGGATGTCCCGAAAAGTAGCTCCTTGGAAATATTTGAAGACAAATTTCATGGCCGAAATAATATTGGAATTAAAAAAAATATATATGATCAAACACCAGTTTTTGATATTAATGCAAAATCCCACTTATTCATGTTAAGTTAATTTTTTTTAATTTTTTTTAAAAATAAAACTAAAGATATCATAAATGTATTTAAAGCTAGCAATAAGTGGTAAGTTGAAATTTGTAAATGTTAAAATATGAGAAAATAATTGTGAACACAAATGCTGAAAATAATAATAAAGTTTGTAAGAAGAACTAATGAACATGGTTGTTAATTAAGGACAATATATACATCTTTATAAATTTATCAAATCATTTCATTAGCAATTACCCCTTGATCTAACAATTAATAAAAAAGAATAACCCCATTAACAAAATTCAAATCAGTCTATCATAATACAAGCATTACTGCCTCAATGGCTCGAACGTCTTGATTTTCAAATATTACATCCAAAAGTTCAATTATGTAACTTTGTTATGTTAGATTTTGTGTTTGCAATTTGAAGTTAGAACATAAAAAAAACTTACTACTATTTTTATTATAAGGCATAATACGTAAATATGCCCTTTAACTTGGCTTCAAATCAGATTTATGTCCTTCAATTTTGAATGTGCACAAGTAGACACTTAAACTTGTATAAAGTTAAACAAATAAACACACATGTCCTACATATCATTTTTTGTCCTACGTGTATTGTGTCATGTAGGACTCACGTGTTTATTTATTTAAAAATTGGATAGTTAAAGTGTTTGTTTGAGCATTATGAAAGTTAAAGGTCAAAGTTAAAATTTGAAGCCAAGTGTAAGGTCCAATATATGTATTATGCCTTATTATAAAGTTATAAAGGTGAATTTATTTATTTCATGCACCTTGATGAAGGGTCTTATCTTCAGTACTTATTTTTCATTGTTATATCTTACTCTAAAGTCTTGTCAATAATGAGACTCCAGCCTTCCCATTTTTTTAAATGCTGCAGATACTACAATTAGAAAATATATAACTATTCCATTTTAGTTACTTTTTCATCTACTAAATGTATACACACTTCTTTCAAATCAAATGTCCTATATAACATCATAACCAGAAATTTAAACCTTCATATAAGGACAAGAAAAAACCTAAAAGGCATTAAAAAAATTTTGAGATGTGTCAATTAATTAAAGTTAGGTCTAATTTTTGGTTGGACAACAATTTGTTAAAAAGTTGTGTGTGTAAAGTATAAATATAGGTGTTAATATTATGTCACACATTGAAAGTGATATACTAAAAGTATGAATATGGATGTTTGGAAGTGGAAAGAAATGATTTGGAGCAAGTTAGGAATAATTTGTGGTGGATGAAAGTTATAATACCACACGATTTATAACCTACATTTTTTTTTATCGCGGGAGAGGAGTTTTAAAGTTGTATCTTTCATATTAATCTTATAAGTTTGCCCATGGCAATACAAAATTAAGATTTTTACAATGATTTAGAGCTTTGATTAGTACCTTATATCAATGTTTTAGCACCAAAACTCAAGAATCTCTATGGATTTTTCGAAATTAAAAAGTAAATGTTTTACTTTGGATTTGACATTTATAAGGTTTTATAAGATCATTGTGAATGAGTTTAGTAAATTTATTTAGATATTTGTTAGATAGTATTACATACTTTAATTGTGTTCAAACAATAGAAAAGCTTAAAATTTGGAGAATATAATGCTTAGAATACACTCTTGAACTATGAGATGAGTTTTTCATTAAAATTGTAAGATTTAAAATGGAGAATATTATATAGAATCCATAATCATAAGTTAGAATTACTTAGAAAATCAAGGAATATGCTTACCTTGTCGTAGGAGGAAAATGGAGAAGAGAATAGTTTTGTTCTAGCTCTTGGGGTTGTGAAAAAATGGAAGAAAAATCGTAAGGGTTGCTTTTATAATTAACTAGGTAAATTATTCGTGCTTTGCACGATATTGAATTATTTTATTATATGATCATTCAGTAATATTTGTACTTTCGATACATAATATTGTCAAGAAAATTTTATTCTAAGTGCTATATTTTTTTTTTGTTGCACAAAATTAAATTATGAATTATAGAGAGTTTTAAGAATAAGAAAGAATTCTAAGAAAATCTAAATGAAAATAGTTGGTTAGAAGTAACAAAATTTTCTAAATTTCAGGTTGTTTTAAATAACAATATCAGACATTAAAAAGACTAAAAAGTCTTCAACAACATACTCCCAAGTGAAGTGGAATATTACATACATACAAGAACATAATTAATTGAATTCAAATGGAGGACGTTCTGCTCCTTTTTTATGAAACTCCACGAACTCTTTTTTATTATAGTATTTCGTATCATATATATGTAAAAAATGACCCTAAAATTGTTAATATCATATAGGTTTTTTCTCATTTTCTCAGAATAGTCATTACTATTGCTTAGGTTTTATACTGACCCCAACTTATTTGGAATTGTATAATAGTTATTGTTATGCCTATAGTATGCAATTACAACGATTAATGCAAATGATCAACCAAGAAGTAGATGACATCTGAATGGACCTGCTTACATGTAACATCTTAAAAAATTCTAAACTAAGACTGAACCATTTTTTACTTACCTGTAAGGTCGTATCGGGTGATACATAAATTGCTGATAGGTATAAAGGTATATTCTTTAGTGTGGGTCGTTTGGTGTGAGGGATAAAAATAAATAATGATGGAATAATTTTTTCGCTACTTGTTTGGTTGCCATGTTTGGGATAACTTATCCCACTATTTATAGCATAGTAATGGGATAAGTTATCCCACTATTTATAGCATAGTAATAGCTAGTATTGAGCACCAATATGAGGATGAACTCAGACAACTCAAAATCCTCATAAACCATGTCTCGTCATCTCTCTATGTGTGTGGGAGAGAAATTACATTTTATGTTTGTTTTCTCTTGTAAATTGATATTGATGGCAAAAGTTGTTTTCTCTTCTTCTTTTTTTCACCCAAAGGTGAACATATCTAGTAAAAGACCTTTTATGTCCAAGCATATCATATAGTTTAACAACTCTCCCACAAATGAAGCAATTATGTTACCTATGTGAAGCACAATAGCATGCATATGGACCACAAAATGCCTATTGGCCTGGCATCCAATCTTTGTATCCATACCCCCCCACCCCCCAATATTATTTTGCCTCAAAGCACTAAGAACAAACACTTTTAACAATTTGCTTCAATAGCTTGCTCAATATTTTTCTTTTTTTCATTCATTCAACTTTTCAAAAGAATAAGTGGTCCAAAACTTTTACATGACTGTGTTTACCAATAAAAGAGGAAGATTACATATGTCACTAATTGTTTCCCACTTTTGATGTGCACTTGTAAAATTGCACCTTTCATCATGGAGCACTTCACTTGTTGTATTTTGAGTTTAGAGTTTTGTATATCAAGAGTATACAAATTAAACAAAAAAAATATGTAGAAAAGTTTCATTTTGGGTGCTATTTCTACAAAAATTTCACACTATCAAAGTTACTTAAGATTCATAACTTAATATAATTGTATAATAAATAAAGTAACAACTTAATATGTTGTTCAGACTCTACGATCATATTAATTGTCAGAATGTGTGTCGAATTTTTATAAAATTCTATACGAATGTAACGACATTTTTAAAGAATTTGAGTGACATAAATGATTTAGCAATGACAGTGTAATAATATTTATATTAACATAAAGTCTTTGTTGTGTGAACTAGGAACATGTGTCATTAATTAGTTGTTACCTTGGTTCAAATAACTTGTACGCGTGTAAATATTCGAGTGAATTTAAAATTTAAAATTTATATGTTTAATGATAATTTTAAGTAAATAATTTATCGATATTTAGTTGATTTAGTTTTTAGACTTGTAGACTAATCAGTAGAATTTGACCATAAATTTCAAATGTTTTTTTTTTTGGAATTTGTGAAACTAAAATTAAAAATGGAATTATGTCTGGTGATACTTTTTGCAAAGACCATTTGAAATAATATAATCAAAAGTAAAAAAAAAATAAGTTGAAAAACTGGTTATAGTTTGTTTTCGAATTTGACTTCAAGTTTGAATTTGAATTCTTTATGATCAGATATTAATTTAAAAATAAAAACAATTTTTTTATTTTTATTAAAAAAAGATTAAATATTTTTTAATGGTCAAAAGAATCAGTTTGCTTTTGTCAAAACTTATATAAGACCGTGAAAGGAATTAGTACAATTTATGTGTGACATTGACAGACTAAAAAGATCCAAATAAATATTAACAGAAATATATTTACCTTTTATCATTTATATATTCAGACTGGATTTTCTCAATTTATTTTTTATTAGTTTTACTTATGAATAGTCAAATCAATTATATTTGTACAATATAAAATTAATACCCATAACAAAAAACTCTAAAAGAAATAGTAATAATATAAAGAAATGAATACCAACATGATTAATTAATAAAAAGTAAAATGGTCAAACATGAAATATACTATACTATTCCAATTAATTCAATAACTTTATTATCCACTAAACCTTAATCAGAAGTCGATGCACAAATAAAATTTTTATTTTTATGAGTTTAAATATGTGAAGTCTATTTATTTTACGCTTGAATTTCGTTAATAATATGAAATAATTTGTAATAATAAAGTTGTGATAAAATTAAACTTTTTTTTTCATATACATTTGATAAATTTAAATCTTTTTTTTTTTACTAAATGTAAAAAAAAATTAAACTAGGAAATATTAAAAGGTATTTATGATTGTCAGTTGCCACC